AAAGAGTGGAGCTCTGAAAGTGTTTAATTTTCTGTTCAAAGGAGGGTCAATGCTGAGCTTAGATGAGGTTATTCAAGGCTTTGTCCAGCTGGATCTTGAAAACCACTAGGAATGGAGATTAAACAACTTCTCTGAGCAATCTGTTCCAAAGTTTGAATGTTTTGATAGTGAATTTTTATTCCTTTCTTATATCCATTAAGAGTCTCTTCTGTTTTGGTTTAACTGTTGTCTCTCCTCTTCTTCCTACACACCTCCATAAAGAGTCTGGCTCCTTCTTCTCCTCCTAGATATTGGAGGGCTGCTCTTAGGTCTGATCCCTATAGCCAGTGAGCCCATTAATTATCATACCCCCAAGCAGTTGTTCCTGACTTGTGAGCTGCATTCAGTGCTGCATCACCCTAATTCACCCCTCTAGTGCTTGGATTAAGAATTTACCTTCCAGAAACTTCACAGACAGCTTTCACCCTGCTGTGTTACCTTTGGAAGTTAACACCCACCTTAAGATGGAGATCCTGTGATTTGGGCTGGCTGTGGATCTTGACTTTGCTTCAGTTCTCTTGATAAAACTCTCCTTGATCCTCTTCCAGGCTTTTTACTTCTCCTGGCTTGTTCCTCTAAGTTTCTGTTGGATAAATAAGAATAGTTTTTTTGCCTGATTGTGGTCTGGATAGTTATAACTCTCTGGAAATATTTTGCTTTCAAATTGTTTGACTTTTGTGTAACTCTGCAGAGAAATGAGCCATATTCTTACCTTCAGTTGGTAAATGCGGACATGAGCTAATGGAGCAGCAGTTCGTTTGTGCTTCTGGCTACCCGTGGCCTAGTAAACAAAACCCTGATAGATAAGCACTAGTTTACAGCAAATAAGAATATTTGTGATTTTTTTTAGTGTCTAAATTTGGTATCTGTGCTTTTTTTCCCCAGCTGGACCATGATCTGAAGCACGCCCACGAGCTGCGCCAGGCTGCTTTCAAGCTCTACGCCTCCCTGGGAGCAAACGATGAAGATATCCGAAAAAAGGTGAGCCTGAGAAGTGCCAGCAGTCAGGCTAAGATGCAGCTGAAAGTCAAGCTGAAAGGCAGTGCAAGAATAATAACAATGTTACAAAATAAAAAATGAATGATTAAAAGCAGCCTTTTTTTACATTAAGCATGAACTTGCTCTGACCAGTACTGAAGGCAGGAGAGTTTTCTGAGTTTGTGCTGGTTAAAGGAGAAAGACAGAAGGAAGAGGGATATATGGGCAGGAAGGAGGCAGGAAAATACAGCATTGAGAAGATAACTAATAGGAAGATTTGTCAGTGGAGAACCATTTAGGATCTCCAGAATTGAAACCCATAAACTACTTTTGTTGCAGGATGAATTTGTTTAGTTAATAGTAAGGATCCTTCTTTTACATAACAAAGCATTGGTTTTAATAAGTGGAGGCTGTGTACATGACAAAGTTGATTTATTATAGAAAAACAATCTTTTATCTTGGTGTTAATTCCTTCTTATGCCAGACTTAAGTGCCATGTCTAAATATGGCAGATGAACTACTCTGTATTTTTTCTCAGCAGGCTCTACAATGTGTCTCTAATCTTTAGTTTGTATATATTGTGTGCACTCACACATGCCTTCTTTCATTTTAATATGACATTAGGGGTAATTCATATACATATAACCATCTTGTACCTTGATAATAAATAATATAGTTTTGAAAACAGTAGTGGAGCTCAGAATGTAGATGTTTTTTTCTAAACTGTATGCAGGTACACACCACTTTGCACTTAATCTGGGAAAATAACGTGGTTTGTTGGTTTTAGCTGCATGTTTTGTAGGCAATATTTCAAATGTTGCAGACAAAACCCTATAAATGCTCATGTTATTTTATTCCTGTAATATTAATGCTTTTTTTTTGCTCCAGATCATTGAGACAGAAAATATGATGGATCGTATTGTTAATGGCTTGTCTGAGTCTAGCATCAAGGTGCGACTAGCTGCAGTCAGGTAGGAGGCTCTGCTGGTTCATACAGCTGCTTTTGGCAAAGTCTGATGCTGTATTGGGTAGAATTTCTGCTAATTTTTCAAAAGCTAATCTGGAGTTTCAGATTTTTCAGAATTTCTAGTGCTGGAAAATTGAATGAGGGGGGCAGGAGGAGTCATCCTGGACTAGGACAATATTTTTCTTTTTGCTCTTCACAGTGCTGTTTACTTTTCAAATTCCAAGCTGAACCTTTGTGTAGGAGCAGTGTATCTGTTACAGAAACATGCATGTGGGTGTGTATGTTGCACAGTGAAGGTTTCTCTTCCTTTACAGATGTTTGCACAGTTTGTCTCGTTCTGTACAGCAGCTCAGGACAAGTTTTCAGGATCATGCTGTATGGAAACCTTTAATGAAGGTATGTAAAGTCAAGTCTCAACGAGAGAAGTGCTCTGTTCCATTGGAGGAGGATATGGTGACTGCTCAATCTGTGTGCCTTTCTGTAGAATCATGATAGAAATTACCTGGAAATCAAAATTCCATGACCTCCCAGGAGTCATTAATCAACAAAAGCCAAGCAGCAGCCAAGAGATGTTGTGGTCCATGCTTGATTTTTGGTTGTTTTTTCCCCCACCACCACCCTTTTTTTTTTTTGAGTCATCAGTGAATGAGGCTAAGTTATCCCTTATACTTACACAGGGCACTAGGAGGACTAGATCTACTTCCAAGTTCAGGCTCAGATTAGATGGCACATTCAGACTTGGTCTATAAGCCCTACAAGAGAATTTAGATCTGCTTTTTCTCCTGTAATTCTCTACCTTGTAGATCTCATTGCAGATTCTACAACTGCAGCTAAAGAGCTCAGCAAGACCTTTGAAAAGACACATTTTAATATAGTGTAGTTATCCACAAAATCCAATTACATCAAAGCATGTAAGGTATAAATCATCTCTCATCCTGTAATGTGATTGTCATTAAGTGCAGACAAATGAAAAACTTTCTCAATTTCAGCATCTTTTAGACCTAGAAAATGGGGAGCAGTCAGAATCTGCTAGGAAGAAGCCTCAAAGCTTGGGGGGCGTTGATGTCCATGGGGATCACCAAGAGAACCACCTGAAGAGAGCCTGAACTAACTATGTGGAAGTAAAACAGCCAGAGCAGGGAAAGTGGTGTCTGCCAAAATGGGCTGATGAGCCTGATAACGAGGCAGTTACATGAGCTGACTGCCCAAAGCTGCACTCAAGAGCCTGGAAGGAAGTAAAAGATCAGGAGAGCCTACAGTTATTTCTAGTGACATGTCAGTACAAGAAAGGTGCCTGTTGGGCATACTGCTCAGTGGCATTTTAGTCAGGCCTGACTTTTTCTCTTCTGCTTATGTACTAGTTTTCACAAGTTATGGGCTTAAGAAAACTTGACTCACTAGTTATCCTGCACTCTCTGGCCATCTTGTTGGCTGCAGGCCATGAAACTTTCTTGGCTTTTTATGTTGCTTGTGTGAATTAGAGGCCCTAAAGTAGGGGCCTACCTTTTTCTAGAGTATCATGATAGAAATGGTGGGGATATTATTTTCTGACAGTATACACAATACACTTAGTACAAGTTCAGCATTCATCCTTGGACTGGGTGTGCAAGTTGATGCTGATCCATGAATGTCTAATCCTTAGTCTTGTTGGGAGGCACAGGGAGATTTGATCATGCAAGTTTTATGTTATCACAATAGCCTAATAATGACATGATTCAGGATTTGGGATTGTCACCTGAAGGAGCTTGGAGGGAATGCTTTGAATATTTTAAGAAGATGCAAAGGGTCAAACATGAAAACATCAAACCTTTATAAATGTAAAACACAAAACTGACAGGACTGCTCAAAGAAGCACAACTGGCATAAAAAGAGAGCTATGGGAAAGAAACAAATGTGAGTGTCAGACTTCTGTGTAAGCACAGCTGCTGGCAGCTGAGCTTTTTATTATTAAATATGCTGAAGTCAGCAACTTGTATGTTTGCTCCAAAAGTATTCTTCTTAATAGAGAACTAAAAGTAATATTAAATATAGGTTAATCAATTTTCTGTCTAGATTAATAATTATGTAAGTCCTTTCTCTCTCCCCTAGCATGTAGAGCTGTATAAGGCATGGAAGAATGTCTAAAACTCTAGGACTTAGGTATATGTACTTTAGTAAGTGCAGTAATTGTTCATGTTTGCAGTTTGCTCACTGCTCTGAAACAAAAGGTGGTAGAGAACAGCCCCTCCATTCCCCTTGCTGTGCTGGGGGAGCAGTTGTATCCTCCATGCCTACTTCCTCACTGATTTTACTCAGAACACACAAGGGAGATGCTTTGTTGAAGAATGGCATGTATTGGACCTGCTGGAGATGCTTTTCTGAGAGGATGCTCATAAGGAAATCTACCATGTTGTCCTCCTGGAGCTTCCTCATTTTTCTGTAAATCCCAGTGCTCTGTAGGACACAGCCTTCTCTTTTGAGAGAATGGCTGCAGAGCCCAGTTACAGCTGCCAGCACATGTGCTTAGCTGAGCAGAGGTCTCTTCCCACTGATTTCTTCTGAACTGGACCTCAGAGCTCTGAAATCTTCCTTCTGTAAAGTAATTGCATTGCTCCAGCTTGTCATGTAACGTGTGTTGTTACACAGCATGGCTCCATCTCTGCATGTGCTCGAGTCCAGGTTGGGTGGGGCTTTACACAACCCTCTCTAGTGGAACATGTCCCTGCCCATGACAGGGGGGTTGGAACTAGATGATCTTTAAGGTCCCTTCAAACCCATTCTATGATCTTCACATGGAGTTGAGTGAGCACTGTCTGGATCTGCACTGCCAGGATCAAAGCATCTCCTGAAGTATGGCATAACAAAGTGCAGCAGAGTTACAGGTAGGGTCCCTCCCTTATCCCACGAGTGACCAGAGTCTCCTCACTGTCCCCTTTGCCTGCAGGTTTTACAGAATGCTCCCAATGAAATTCTCATAGTAGCATCTTCCACGCTATGCAATCTTCTTCTGGAATTCTCTCCAAGCAAGGAGGTTAGTATTGATCCAGAAACAAGCAGAGGTAATAGATAAAATTTACATCAGAGTGTAAAAAAAGTCCCAGTGGTTCCATGAGGTGTCTTAATTGGAAGCCTGTGCTTGTGAGGCATGGCAGAGCTGTAATGTCAGGCAGACTGTATCACTGAGAGCTTGTGAATATTATTTTAAAAATCATGTTTACAGTGCTGTGACACTTAAATGTTGTTGAATAGTTAAATGTAGTCTCTAAGGAAAAGTAAACGTGAAATTTTGGAGTTTTCACTTGTAAAACACTTTTAAAAGTCCATAAGCAAGAATAAAACTGGTAATTGGCAGCATGATGCATTGTCTTAGAGAATTATTGCTGTAATCTTGAAAATGCTGCAATAGCTGAGTCTTGTGGGTTTCATTGTTCTTGAGTTCTGGCTGTATTTCATACAGATCATACATATCAATACCTCACAGCAGTAGGACAATTCCTCAGGTCTTAAATATTTCTTAGTTACAGAAAAATTTGCAATATTGTGGCATGTGTGGGTTCCTACAGGGCACTTTGGACTACCTTGATTTGCTGAATTGATCTTAGTGCTTTTAGTCATGTCTGTGAGACAGAAAATTAACTGAAATAATGCCAAGCACAGTTTGCTGGCCCATTAGATTTCTATTCACACTGCAGGCCACAATCAGCATAGTGTTTCCACTTCAAATTGGGTTGAAATACTCAATTTTCTATTGGGGCACGTGGTTCGTGTCAAAAAAACATCATTGCCAAAAGAAAACACTGCTGATGCAAAATGGAGGCATATGCAGAGAGGTTTGATTTGAAAGCATCTGTGAGCCATCTGATCTTTATTTGATATATCACCTTTTTTTCCTGCATATTGTTTTGCAAATTGTAAACTGCCAGTCCCTTAAGTAAATAGAGCTGAGGTCAAGCTGTATTTTACCATGTAAAAGAGCTGAGTGAAACCCAGTTGTGGAATGGCTCCCACGTGCTGTGGTTGTGGAGGAGTCCCTAGGAGCCAGCCAGCTCCTGGGCCTGTGGCAGAGTCCCTGGCAGCTTTGTGCAGTGCAGGAGCTCCTGGGACTGGGTGAACTTTTGCACAAACTGCTGCTGCCTGCTTCTGTCACAGCCTTGCTGCTATTCAGTGAGATGGGCCTGTGCCTACAGAGTGCAGCCTTTCGCAC